CCCCTTGGCCAGGTGTCCCCAAGCAACTCCACGCTTGGTGAGGGCTCCCAGCCCGATTGGCCGGGGGGCAGCCGCTATGACCTGGACGAGATTGATGCCTACTGGCTGGAGCTCATCAACTCGGAGCTCAAGGAGATGGGTAGGTGACCCACTGGGCTAAGAACGGGATTGGGGCAGGGCCGGGAGGGTTTTCTTCCCACCCCCCAGCATCGTCACCCCAGAGGTGTGGGGACCAAGACTGGGCTTTGATACTACACGGATCAGAGACTCCCTATTGCATTACTGACTGACTAGTGAGGTTACTGGTTAGTGTCTCTGCACCTCCTTCAATTTCTGCAGCTGTCCCATGGGGGAAATAACTGCATGTAACTTATAGGCTTCTTGGGAAGATTATAGTAAGCGCCAATGTTACATGAAGAGCCAGTGAGCACACAAGTGAGTCTAGGACAACAGATGGGTCTGGGATCAGTAGGTATGGGCCCCTTGGCTGGAGCCCATGACAAACATGTCCCAGGAAGGACCAGCTCTGCCATACTCAGCCACCCTCAGGGTCCCTCCATACAGACAAGACAAGCAGTGGATTCCCCATAGAGGTGGCCCCATCCCAGAGTCACTTCTTTGTTATCTGCGCAAACACATATGTCCCTGTGGTCACAGGCGGGCTATCTAAAGTCACAACACTTGGCTGGGCACAGTGGCTCACGCCTGTCATCCCAACATTTTGGGAAGCTGAGGCGGAGGATCATTTGAGCTCAGGAATTCGAGACCAGCCTGGGTGACATAGTGAGACCTTGTCTCTACAAAAATTCAAATTTTAAACATTACTATCTGTGGTGGCATGTGCTGGTAGTCCCAGCTACTCAGGAGAGTGAGGCAGAAGGATTGCCTGAGCCCAGGAGGTTGAGGCTGCAGTGAGCCATGATCGTGCCACTGCACTCCAGCAACAGCGTGAGACTCCAGCTCAAAAAAATAAAGTTAGAACACCACAGTGGGTCAAAGGCTTTGGCACTTGGATGGTACAGCTTGTCTGTTTTCAGAGGCTGGAGCTGAGGCTTCTCCCTAGGTCACACAGTGGATGAGTGGAAACCTCCCCGCACTCTTCGGAGCTCCGGGCTCCTAACACCTCTTCCCCTTCCCCGCCCGCTGTCCTCCCACAGAGAGGCCAGAACTGGACGAGCTGACACTCGAGCGTGTGCTGGAGGAGCTGGAGACTCTGTGCCACCAGAATATGGCTCGGGCCATCGAGACACAGGAGGGGCTGGGCATCGAATATGACGAGGACGTTGTCTGTGACGTGTGCCGCTCTCCTGAGGGCGAGGATGGCAATGAGATGGTCTTCTGTGACAAGTGCAACGTCTGTGTGCACCAGGTGGGTGGACCCAGACCCCTGGTTACCCTTCCCCACACTGTTCTCGTCACCCCCTGGGTGCCAGAGTACAGGGGCACTGTGGGGGCCAGGGCTCTTGAGAAGGAAGGCAAAAGGGAAAGGAAGGGAACAGCGTGAGTGCTCCGTGGTGACCGGAGCACCCAGGGCTGCTTGCCTAAGGCCTGCCAGCCAGACTTGAACAAACGCTCACTAGGCAGTCTTTCTGTCCTCTCCCCTGCCGGCTTCCCTCAGACCTTCCCCACCAAGCACCCTGCCCCACCGCCTGTCCTCCTGGGCTCCTCATAGCCTGAGCTTACAAAGAGGTGGCACAGTGTAGTGACTGAGAGCAGAGCTGCCTGGCTTCAAATCATGGCTCTGCCCTTCACAAGCTATGTGACTTTGGGCAAGTTTTTTTTTTTTTTTTTGAGATGGAGTCTCATGTCATTGCCCAGGCTGGAGTGCAGTGGCACGCTCACAGCCACCATAGCCTCGACCTGCTGGGCTCCAGCGATCCTTCCACCTCAGCCTTCCAAGTAGCTGGAACTACAGGTGTGAGCTACCACATCCAGCTAATTTTTGATATATTGTACAGACGAGGTCTTACCATGTTGCCCAGGCTGGTCTCAAACCCTCAGGCTCAGGCAATCCTCATGCTTCGGCCTCCCAAAGTGCTGGGATACAGGCTTGAGCCACTGTGCCTGGCCTGGACGAGTTTCTTAACCTCTCTGGTCCTCTGTTTCCTCAGCTATAAATAAAAATGAATTGCTGGGAGGATTAAGTTGTTAATTACAAGGTGTTTGCTTCAAACAGCATTACAAACCAAGTACAGCCTGGTCATGCCCCTCCTCCTGATTTTGGGTCCAGAGCTCTAGATCTTTGGTATCTCTGGGCCTTGTTTGCAGAAGATATATCTAGTACCCAGTATACCCCACTCTGGTCTTAACCTTGAGGCTATCCTCACCTACCGTTGCTGGCATAGTCCCTAGGAAACTCAGAGGCAGGGGCTTTACCTGACTGGCGGGTGGGTAGGTGTACACCCCTCACCCAGACACGACCCTTGTACCTAGCGGCTCTTAGCTCCATGCGTCTCTCCTAAGCTGCAGGCATGACTAGGAGATCCCTGTGTTAAAAAGATGAAAGCTCTGGGCCTTGTCCCAGGAAGTATATGCCCGATTTGAACTTAAGGGGGCTCATGGACCCTCCTGAAATCAGGTAACCGCTGACTAAAATGACTCCTCTCCCAGCAGAGGGCAGACCTGAGCCCTTTCACAGAGGACTGTGAAATGGTGACATTTCAGGCATACCAACAGGCAAGAAAAGAGCTTTCCAGGCCTGCTTGGCTGCCTCCCTCCCTCTTCCCTACCTTTTCCTTGGGAGGTCTACTTGCCAGAAACTGGAGACTGCAGAGTCTCCAGTTTCAGCTGGGGCTGGGGTTGGGGCTGGGATCATTGGCACTGACTGCTGACCAGACACAGACTGGCCAGTGCCTCTGACTCATGACCACCACTCTCCCTAGGCATGCTATGGAATTCTCAAGGTGCCCACGGGCAGCTGGCTGTGCCGGACGTGTGCCCTGGGTGTCCAGCCGAAGTGCCTGCTTTGCCCCAAACGAGGAGGAGCCTTGAAGCCCACCAGAAGTGGGACCAAGTGGGTGCACGTCAGCTGCGCCCTGTGGATTCCTGAGGTAGGCAGGTGTGGGGGCGTGGCAGTCCCAAGGAACAGCCAACAGGGAAGTCTGTGTGAAATGTAGGTACCTGATAGGCTCTCCTGACACTGGGAGAAGCAGGTGGCCGACTAGGGAGGAATTCAGGCAGCTGCCTACTGGGAACTTTGCCTTTGACTGAGCTCCGTTGGTGATTTCTATGGGAAGATGGGTGATGGGCTGACAGGGGATTCAGGAGGTGGGTCTGAGGCCTGGGCAGAAGTGAAGTAGCTGACTAGGAGAAAGCACATTGTGGGGTCCATCTAAACCTAGGCAGTGGCTCCAATCACAGTCAAACTGCTTGTTTAAAACAAAGATAAGCTGACCAACCTAAAAGAAAATCAGATGATATGCCTAATGGAGAGTTGGCTAGTGGGCCTGCTGTTGTGGCTGTGGCCAGGATGGAGGGGTGGGCGTGGCCTGCGTCTGAGCCCAGGTGGGCAGCAGGCCGGCTCCACACTGCGTGAGTTAACAGAGGCCCCAGATCCCAGAAGGCCATCCGTTTTATTTGAAATGTGAAATGTTGAAATTCACCCTGCTGTGTGCCCTGACCCAGACTGAGTCCCCACTCTGGTGCTGCCAGAAACAAGCCAGGTGGTCCTGTCAGCAACTGACCGTCCCCTTCCTGGGTTCACAGTCTGAAGGTCCCTTTGGGGCCCACATTGCGGGTTTCTTTGATAATAGTTGTTTGTGTCAGCAGTAGTCACATGCTCCTAGGTCAGCAAGTTGAAGGCTGGGACTACCTCTGAGCGTACTCTTTGGTTCAGGACCTTTTGGGAGGTGCCTTTTTTCCACCTTCAGGTATAGACAGCGGGGAGGCACATGTGCCCTGCCTCTGGGCCTGAGAGGTGAGCTGTGCCCACGAGGCTTGGGCACAGTTGTAGGCCTGTCCCCCTAGGAAGGGCTAGGCAGAGCACATCCCCATGGGCCAGGAGAGCCCTAACAATCCCCAAGAGGAAGTTACTGCCCTGAGACTTTTTCTTGGTGCCCAGAAAAGTAAGTAAATACAAGTTAACAAGAACTCTGAAGATCTTACTAACAAAGGATTAACAAAAGCCTGAGCTGCAGACAGGAAAGGGACCCTGCATGAACCCGTGCACACATACAGAAGCACTTCTCTCTTGAGACACACACAGTCACGGGCTGGCACACTCACCCCATCAGCTATCCACACTGATGTGCACTCTCACATATTCACAGGTAGTTTAAGATTGGTCTCAGATGAGCACTGTCACACTCACCTAGTGGTCAGCTCAGGAGAGGGATTCAGGCTTTTGAGCCAAGCTTGTTTAGTGTCAGGAAAGATTTGGGATTCAGGCAAGCCTCATTTTGGGGATCCCGGGAGGCAGGCTGGAGATGAGAGACTTGACGCAGCCCCTTGTGTCCTGCCCAGGTCAGCATCGGCTGCCCGGAGAAGATGGAGCCCATCACCAAGATCTCGCATATTCCAGCCAGCCGCTGGGCTCTGTCCTGCAGCCTCTGCAAGGAATGCACAGGCACCTGCATCCAGGTACATGGCCCACTTCTGGAGAAAGGCATGCTGGGGCATCCTCAAAAACAGCAGCTATTGCTCCCTGCCCCCTCTCCTATGGTGCTGCAGACAGACCAGTGATGGGCCCTGAGGGGGTGTGAGGTGGAGACCAGAGCAAGAACCCCATTTCGGGGGGAGCATTTTCTCCATCCCCAGGTCTTATAGGGAGTGGGGACAGGCCTGGGGACCCAAGGCTCACCACCCCATGGAAATACCGATGACTCCAGCTTTCCTGAGAGAGCAAGCCTTTTGGGGTCTGATGAATACATTAGCCTCACTTCTGACATTGGACTTCACATGTGGGCGTGGCTAGAAATCAAACTTGTCTTCCACCTAAGCTAATCAACTCTCCTGACACTGGACAGAACTGTCCTAGTCTGTCTACAGCAAACTCTATGCCCAGAGTGTAGTGTGCATCAGAATTACCTGTAGGGCTTGTTAAATGTAGACTGCTGGGCCTTCTCCCCAGAGGTTCTGACTCAGTAGTTCTGGTGGAAGCTGAGAATTTTAATTTCTAAATAGCTTTTGGGTGATGTTGATGCCTCTGGTCCTTAGTTCAGGGGTGGCATCGGGGGTCATCCTTGTCCCCCTCTTCTCTCTAGGAACAGTTGTCATTACAGATACTAGGTGTGCCTCCACCCATTTTTAAGACTTTCAAAAGGATTTGTGAGTGCAGCATAAGTGATCACTAGTAGTTGGGTGCATGATTGCTGATCCCACAGCCATCATTCAAGGCTAGGAAGAAGGGTCAGGAACAGGTCTAAGTCCAGCCCCTCCTCCCACGGGACAGGAAGGGACCACAGTCCTCAGATAGCATTGCAGGAGTAGACAAGTGCCAGTGACCCTCACTAGCCTTTCTCTTGATGCCTTCTGATCCTAAAGTCACTTTGCTCACACAGAAATGCAGCTTGTACCCAGAGGGGTTGCCCAACCATCTTCTGATTGTTGACTCTACCAGTGCATGTGGTTGAGTCTGTTACCTCTCCAGGAGCCACAGAGCTGCTCCTTCCCACCTGCTATAACTCCCACCTTGAGCAAGCTGTTGGTAGCCTGCGCCATTTTCTTTAGGGTCTCACCAGCATATGCTGCATTCTCTGTGGAGCCCTGGGAGAAGCCCCTCTTCTTTTTAAACAGATTTTTTTTTTGAGAAAGCAGGATTTATTGAGAGGACAGAAAAGCCCCCATAGTGGGAAGGGACCCAAAGGGGTTGCCCCTCTCTTCTTTCTCCACTCCCACCAGGGTTCCCTCATGTCTGACGCTGCCCTCCCTCACCCTCCAGTGTTCCATGCCTTCCTGCGTCACGGCGTTCCATGTCACATGCGCCTTTGACCATGGCCTGGAAATGCGGACTATATTAGCAGACAACGACGAGGTCAAGTTCAAGTCATTCTGCCAGGAGCACAGTGACGGGGGCCCACGGAGCGAGCCCACGTCTGAACCTGTGGAGCCCAGCCAGGCCGGTGAAGACCTGGAAAAAGTGACCCTGCGTAAGCAGCGGCTGCAGCAGCTGGAGGAAGACTTCTACGAGCTGGTGGAGCCAGCCGAGGTGGCCGAGCGGCTGGACCTGGCGGAGGCACTAGTCGACTTCATCTACCAGTACTGGAAGCTGAAGAGGAAAGCCAATGCCAACCAACCGCTCCTGACCCCCAAGACCGATGAGGTGGACAACCTGGCCCAGCAGGAGCAGGACGTCCTCTACCGCCGCCTGAAGCTCTTCACACACCTACGGCAGGACTTGGAGAGGGTGAGTCCCCCTGCTGTCTGGGAAGGTGTCCTAGGGAGGCCTTATCTTGCTACACTCACTACCCTGGAACAGTCATGACTCAGCAGGACTCAGACTGTGAACTCTGGTCTCCCAGCCTTACTTCCGTAGCCAGGGGGCCTTTCCAGGTCTCAGGGAGTATGGGGGTGACTGACACTTTGCAGACAGGGAAGGGTCTGGCTGTTGAGTCTCTGAGCTCCTTTTGTCCCGATCACAGGCCTGGTGAGTGGTCAAGGCCATGAGACCGGGGAGAACTAGAGCTGAGGAAAGGACTCAGGCTTCTGACACCTCGTTGTCTCTGTGGGCCCGGCCTGGTCTCGACACCTGAGTTTGTGTTTAGAATCTGAGGTGAGGAGGAACTGGAGCTTCCCAGGCTGTACCTCCTCACCTGTGCTAAGAGCTTGGGGCATTGAGAGCAAGGAGCAGCAGAGAGTCAAGCATGTGCTGGGCAGGAACAGGGTAGACAGGTGTGAATGCAGCTCCTGTGGGGTGCTTGAGACTGAGAACGGAGACACAAAGGCGAGTGGATGGGCTTGAGGAACAACGGCCTATATGGAGTGGAAGGATGAGGCTGGCGGGGCTGGTGGGTCGCACAAGGCTGGGTTGGTGGGCTAAAGCATGTCTGTTTTGTTTTGTTTCTCGAGTCAGGGTCTCACTCCAGGTCTGCTCAGGCTGGAGTGCAATGGCGCAATCAACTATGATCATAGCTTACTGCAGCCTTGACCTCCTAGGCTTAGGCAATCCTTCCACCTCAGCATCCCAGGTAGCTGGGACTACAGGCGTGGGTCACCATGACCAGCTAATTTTTTTATTTGTATTTTTTGTGGAGTTGGGGTTTCACTACGTTGCCCAGCCTGGTCTCAAGCTCCTAGGCTCAAGCAGTCCACCCACCTCAGTCTCCCAAAGTGCTGGGATTACAAGGATGAGCCACCTTGCCTGGCCAGCAAGAGCGTTTTAGGCAGGGACTGTCCCATCGTGGCTGAGACTGTTACCTAACACTTGACCCAGAAGAGGAGTCACAGGTTCTGGAATGGATGAATTGCCTGATGACCCCCCCAACTGTGTGCTGGAAGACAGGTGACAGTGGTTTGGTCCAGGGTGGTAGTTGTTGTGGGGGCTGAGTGAGAGGAAACAGGAGGTCTGGTCCTTGGTCTCTGGGACATTTAGTTCTAGGGTTCCAGAGCATGTGGGATCATGTCACAGTGTCCTCCATGGATACAGACAAACATATTCACCCTCTCCCTGGGCCTTGTTAGGAAACAGCCCTGGGTGGAAATATCAAGGGAGCTTTGTGTGACCTTAGGCAGCTACTTTTCTTATCTGCATCTCAGTGGACAAGTCTGTAAAACGATAGAGCATCTCACCCAGGGGTTGTACTACTGGGGGGGGAAGAGGAGACTAGACCCAGCTCCCCCAGTCACCTTTTCCCCACTCATTTGCCCTGGGGCCTGGTCAAAGGGGAAATGACCCATTGGACTGGGAGGGTGCTTGCTGCCTGGAAGCAAGCCGACTTGCCTCAGGTCAGAAGGAAGAGGTGGGGGTGGGAGGAACCAAATGTCCCTGGCTCTAGCCAGGACAGAGCATAAGGCCACCTTATGCTCTGCAGCACCACCTCCTAGGCAGCCCAGCCTCTGTCACAGGTGGCAGGGGTTTCAAGTCCAAGTCCTTCTGAGGCTAAAGCTGCTTCCAGAGTTGTCTCAGGCCACCCAGTCTCCACCTTCAGGGTGTCCGGTGGAAACACCTGCTTTTATTCATGCTGTTTCCCATGCAACCCATCAGAACTGACCTCCCTGTTTTGTTGCTGGTCAGTCCACATGTCTGGCTCTGACTGGGTTGTTCAGGGAGGTTAGGGGGCTGACTCACTTCTGTAGTCATCATCTTAGAAAAAGAGTCTTGAGGAAGCTCCCCCAGCCCTGTTGAGCAGATGAGAAAACCAGTGGAGTAGCAGGGTACCTTAGAGGAACTTGATTCCTAGGGTTTGAGCTTGAATTTGGGTCTGAAGGGGAGCAGGGCTGGGTCAAGAGGAGATGTTGGCTTGTTCTCTGCTCTGTTAATTTCCTGGGCGATAGCATCCTCTTATCAATCCCCTCACCTTCCCACCCCAGTGTCAACTGATACCTGTGAGGCCAGGGGCTGAGGTTGGTGGGCTCTGGGATTCTAGGGAACCAGAGCTGCTGCACAGACCCCTCCGGGTCTCCAAAGGCAGGTGTGAACCATCTTCTAGGAAGAGGAAGCAGGGCCAGCTTTGAAATCTGTGCAGCCTCTTAAGGCTCCGGAGAGTCCTGTCAGATGCCGCTTCCTGAGCAGCCGCTCAGCCAAGGTGGCAGCGGGCATCAGCTGCGATTAGGTCAAGGGAATGCACAGCCCTGGCAGGGCCCAGAGAGGGAGAGCATCAGAGACAACCGTGAGCCAAGTCGACCCCCCTCGGCGTCCCAGCCTCAAGCCCTTTCATGGCCACGCGCTGGCGACTTGAGTGAATGAATAGCGATGAGAATTCTGCCGCGGGGGAGGCTTTCTGCAAAGACCCATGGTAGTTGGTGGCCTGGCCAGCGGGCTTAGTCTCCAACTGTGGCCCGGTGCCAGCGGCTGAGAGTTTCCAGCCTGGGACTGGGCACTAAGCCAGCTTGGGCCGGATTCATCAGAAGACAGGGTAAGGCTAGAGGTCAAGGCCTTGGGTAGCTGGGTTTGCATCCAGTTCTAGCCCATCCCAACTTTGTTTAGTTTCTGCTTCTCTGAGTTTCACTTTCCTTGTCTGTAGAATGGGAATAAGGACCAAACTGACCTCGGGGGTGCAGCGAGGATGGAGGAGCAGAGCTTAGCACAGCACCCTCCACTAGTGGCCATGAGGGTTTGTTACTGCTCTGACCTCACAAGCAGTTTGACTCTTAAAAGAAGGGAGATCACGCCGTGCGCTCCCAGAGTGTTTGCACGGAGGACCAAAAGGGCAGGCCCAGCGCTAGGGCCTGGGAATCACGGCATCCTCCCAGATTGATTCGTTCCCCCAATGGCCAGGCAGGGCTTTTGCTGAGAGAGGCAGGAGCCCGGGCTGCCACCGCATGAAATCTCATTTTTATGGCCAGCCCAGATGTGCTTTCCTAAAATTTCAGCCGTAGGCCTCAGCCCTGGCGGAGAGCTCGGGAAGGCATGGCCACTGCAGCCTCCCAGAGTTATTCACGGCTGACAAAAAAATTGCAGCACTGATGATCAGCGCGACAAGCACCGGCTGGTGTCCCCTAGCAACCACGCTGACGGCGGGCTGTGTAGGGACTTGCTGCCTGTGGCTCTGGATCTTGTCACCAGGAGTTTCTCTGAGAGTCTGACCGGGCCCAAGGGGGAGCTTGGGAGGGGGGAGGCAGCTCTTAGACACACACCTGCCCAGAGGATGGATATGGGGCAACCTCTAGGAGAGACAGTCTCAGCGGAAAGTGGGTGCTGACCTTGTCATTTGGTCACACCATGGTCACTCTATCCTCAGTGTCTGAATTGTGGTCCCTTTGACCTCCCGCCAAAGCCAGCCTTTTCCTGGGCAGCTTCAACCCCCAAACCTCTGGCTCCTCAGCTCCCTCACCTCCCATTTCTAGGGCTTCTCTGACCCATTGGTGCCCCTGCCCCGCCGAATCTTAGTCCCCCACCTTGAGCTGCTCCCAGGCCCATTACCCAGAAAGCCCCAGATCCTCCTCCCTGGCCGCAGCCTCCCGCTCTCCCTGCACAGTTGTCTCCCAGGCACGCGCCCTTCTCTGTCCTCCTGCTTTCTTCACATTGACCCCCGCTTGGCACTGCCTGTGGCCCATGCCGCTTTGCTGAGCTCCTACCCCTAGCAGAACCTCGCTCAGCAGGGGCCATGAAGCCCACCAAGAGAGATCCATAGCAGTGAGCAGGTGCATGTCCCCAGGGAACCTGCTGGCCAGCCTTGGCAGGACACAGCCTACCACTTGCTGGGCTTCCCCATCCCCTGCTTCACCTCCCTTAGGTCTCCTCCTTTCTGTTAGTAGACAGTCTCCCTCTTGTCCTCACATCAGAACTTCTAGCTTCCGACCAGCAGAGCCCTCTGGCTCCATTCTCTGTCCTTCCCTCCTACCTCCTCCTCTGGGATCTCTTTCCAGCCCACACCCTGAGCTGGGCATTTCTGAATTGTTTTAATCCCCTCTCCGGGGTCCTTTTCCACCAGCATTTGAATCCTTTTTTCTTGAGTCAGAGTTTTACTCCTATCACCCAGGCTGGAGTGCAGTGGCATGCTGCTCACGACCACTGCAGCCTTCGACCTGCTGGGCTCAGGCGATCCTTCTACCTCAGCCTTCCGAGTCGCTGCAACTATAGGCTTGCACCACCACACCCAGTTAATTTTTTATTTGTTTTAGAGACGAGGTCTCGCCACGTTGCCCAGGCTGGTCTTGAACCCACGGGCTCAGGTAATCCTCTCACCTCCACCTCTCAAAGTGGTATTCAGGCGTGAGCCACCATTCCCGGCTAGCTAGCATTTGAATCTATTTAACCCTCTCATCTTCAAATGCAGATCTTCCCTCCCTGCCTCTCTCTAAGCCTGGGTTCCTCCACTCCCATCCTCATCTCTCCTTTCCCATCATCCTTCAGGTATTTGATTCCTACCCTTGCCAGGCTCCTGCCACCACTACATTCCAGACCCAGCTACCTGGGCCACCAACATCCTCCTCCCCCAGCCCTCAGCAGTGGTTGCCACAGTCAGATCTGTTTATGGTTCTGACATCCTTTTCCTGTGATGCTCTAGGTTCCCCCCTAATGTCTTGGTCCCCCTGCTTCCTCTCTAGCAGCTCCTTGACCCCAGGGAACATTCACCCTTCTCACCTGACCAGTCACTTTCAGGGCTGGAGGCATCTGTTCCACAGCTTTACCCCGGGTCGGGGGACTGGCTTCAGTTCACACCTCCCTGCCGAGCCCCATATCTTCGGAAACTTCAGCAGTCTCCACGAAGGTCCCATCTCTGGTTTATTTTAGCTCAAGACACT